CCCCAAAACCCCAAAACCCCAAAACCCCAAAACCCCAAAACCCCAGGTTCTAGAAATCAATTGATTTTAGAGTATCTTATAAAAAATGAAATTAATTAGCTACATTCTCCTTATCTTCCTGATAAGGAGAGAAAAAGAAGTCAAGGTATTTCCTCAACTTTCTAGTAGTCGAATTGAAGGTGATACCATCTCCAGAAGTCTTTCTAAACTCTACAGCTCTTTTGTAGGAGTTTGGCTTTTTAAGGATACTGATTAATATAATAGTCTCTTCACCGAACTCTTCAACCTTAATTTGAGCTCTGAAATAAGTCTTAGATTTTTGTCACTTGTACTTGTTCTTACATGCAAATTTAATTGCAATGTCAAGCAACTGATCTCCATCTTCAACTTGGTAGAAGTCAGTTACTATTCTCTGAGTTGGGAAGGTCCTTTCAAATCAACTTCTCCCAGAATGATGGGTTTTTGTCAGCAAATTTCTCCTTTTGGTGAATCTCTCAAAGATCTCATCTCTAGAAATTTCTGGACCATTAACCCATTCATGTTTTTTGATTTGGGCCAGAGTGAGTCTCTTATTGGGATCATAAGCAAGCATCTGAGACAACAGATCTTTAAAGCTTTCCGAAAGTTCGCACTCTTGATGAACTCTCCAGAATTCTGGCCATTCTTCATTGCAAATTCTCTTGAAATATTGATCCTCTGGATCAGCTGTTGTAAAAGGAGGATGCTCAGTTGCTAGGATAAAGAGCACGATCGCAGCCGCGTACAGGTCATGTTGTCTACAGTCATATTCTTGTTTAGCTAGTACTTCTGGTGCCATATAGCCAAACGTCCCTTTTCTGTTTCAACTCCTACGAGATCTTGTTGCGAAGCCAAAGTCAGCAAGTCTCAAGTTAAAATTTTCGTCCATGAGAATATTTTCTAACTTAATATCTCTGTGAGCGTATCCGCTTCAGTGTAGATATTCGATAGCTTCAAGGAGCTGCTTGAAATAGTATCTAGCTTCTTCCTCAGCAAACCTCCCAGATTGGGCTACATAATCAAAGATCTCACCTTGAGGAAGGTACTCCAAAGCAATGTATCTCACTTTGGTAAAAGTTCCATCCTTACGTACAAAGTAAGATACCTCAGCATGGTCAAAATACTTGATTATATAGGGATGGGAAAGTTCCTGAAGAGCCTCAGCCTCTGTATAGAACAACTCCTGATTGTCTTGCTTTCAGATATTTTCGTTGTCTTGGGATCTTTGGGAGATTTTCAGCGCAACTTCCTTCCCATCTGGAGTTTCAGCCAACTTTACCCTAAAAAATCAGATTAGACACACTCAAGATTAACTTCTAAAGAATTCTCCAGTAATGAATTTGTTTTTCAGCAATAACTTACTTTGAAAAAGCTCCTGATCCTAAATTTTTCTTTAAAGTGTAATTATCTATTGTGCTCATTGTGGAAGTTTATTATAAGTTCAATCTTATTGCCCTTATAGGGGTTTTGGGGTTTTGGGGTTTTGGGGTTTTGGGGTTTTGGGG